CCCGCCCCCCCCCCCTCCCCCGCGCCCCAGCCACAAACCTGCCCCGTGCCCCAGCCCTGCCCCGTGCCCCAGCCCTGCCCCGCGCCCCAGCCCTGCCCCGTGCCCCAGCCACAAACCTGCCCCGTGCCCCAGCCCCGCTCTGCCACGCTGCCCCTCACAGCTCTGTCTCTGCTTGTTGTCAAGCTTCAGGGAATATTTGGAATGAGTGACCCGAGTTTGGGATCTCTCCCAGCATCATCTGCTGACCCCAAAAATGGCAGCTCCCAAACTCTGTTTTGGCTCCATCTGAACCACCCATGAATCCCCTGCTTAAACTCTGCACCAACTCCCCGAACTAGAAGGACAAAGCAGACAACCTGCGCTCCACATGAACCCAATTTAGCACAGATCTCCTCTGTCCCCTCCACATCCTTCCCTCAACCAGCAGCTTTAGGAAAACTGTGTTTACCGTGGGCTGGCTGCCACCAGTGGGTTAATCTGAGGGGGTTACTGGGAGCAAGGACAAACTGGCATTTAGCACACCAGCCTGTCCTAATTGCTCCCTCTCAGGAGCAGGCTGAAATGCCAGGAGAACTTCCCTTTTCACCCTCATGCAAGGTCCAACCAGTCAGACTGGCTCAACAAAAGCAGGCCCAGGGAGGGCAATCGAGGAGGCAACGTGTAAACCCACAAACAATAACACCACTGCCACAAAACTGAAGCCCTGCCAACTTTAACTGTGTTTGGCTTGGACAGGGCATCTTTATTGTGTGCTAATGAAGGCAATAAAATAAATTAGCCCAGGCCTTTTAATATTAAATAAATGTATTTTACAGCTGCCTGGGAAAAAAAAAAGACCAAAACCCAACCCGCAAGGCAGATATAGCCTGAACAGTTTTGTGACACGCAGGGTGACACTGGGTGGATAAAAACATCCTCTGCCAGCACAAGAGCTGAGTTAACTCTCCAGAAGTTGAAGAATTATGAGTTTTTTCCCCAAACAAGCCCCGCAATGCTGCTGGGATTCCCAAATGCTTCCCAAGCTTGCAGTGGCAGGGAAAAAGGAGAGAGTTGATGCTAGAGGAACTCGGGTGTTGGGTCCCATCTTTTCCCTTTGGCTATTTCAGCAGCTCTCCAGTTCCAGTTCACTGCCAAAATAAACCCAGGCAATGAATGGATCAGGTGGAACTGGACTCAGGATCTCCTGCAAGCTGTCTTAACATCATCAACTCTTTCCTTTGGCAATGAATAATCCCAGATCCCAGTCCCAGGTCCAAAGCCTCACAGTGTGACAGCTTCACTGGTCTGGAGCTCTTGTCCACACCAGGCACAGGGGACATTCCCTGCTGCCTTCTGCTGGTGCTAAAGCTGGAACCACCAGTAAAACACATTTGCTGCCCCTCAAACAACACAACCTTAAGGGCTGCTTTTGTTAATCATCGTTTTTAATTACGGCAAATCCCGCCCGGAGCTCTGGCTGACCTTCCAAGCGTGATCCTCTCCCAGCATTAGTGCACAATTCCCTCCAGCTGAGCAAAAAAACTGCCAGAGGGACAAAGGGACTCTGCCCCACCTTGTTTGCTCCTGAAGAAAACTTCATTTGCACTCAAAGCAGCCCAGCCCAGCTCACACATTCAATACTCACATCCAGCCGTGGAAGAGCTAAAAGGGGAGAAAAGTCAGCCAAGGACAGGGCACTCCAAAGGAAAAGCCACACCGTGGGCATCACCCTCACAGAGCACACCCAGCCTCGGTTCTGAGCCCTGATCCTGGCACAAAGCTCTGCCTGTTTTCCGTCACCACCTCCTTTTTTGTGAAGAAAAAGGGTTGTTTGAAGAACAGACCCTGCTGCAAACTCCTCTGAGCTCCAACGCTCCTGCACAGTGTTGGCTTTGCTGAAGCACCTGCTCCCAAAACACAGAGATGCTCAAACACAGGAGTTTTAGTGCCAACAGGAGGAACAGAGGCAGACCTGAGCCAGCACACATTTAAATTCTCTGGAAGTAGAAAATGACAGCTCACACCTCATGCAAGGATCAGCCTTTCCAGGGAGGCAGTATTTGCTAAACAGTTGCATTTCCCAGTAAATAAAGAGACAGATCAACAGCAGCCAGCCCAAACCAGTGAAGACTGATGATGTACTTAGGAAGGATTCACATGTGGAGTGCCAGGGATGGGCTTAGCTCAGTCACAATCACCTGGTAAGTTCTGTTAGCTCCAGGTTTTCACTTTTGGTTGGAACAGACTCCTACGTTCTTCATTCCCTGCATACTTCTAAAACACAGGATTGTTTCAGAAGTGTTTTACTTGACAGCCTGGCTCTACAAAACCATCCCAGCGGACTGAAATATTTATCCTACACACACCAAGTTATTTCAGTCAGCAATAAAATAAAATCCCAGGCTGGAAGTCCTGCAGATGAGTCCTTTGGGGAGCTCAAAAGACTGACTCAAAGCCGACATCAGCAGTTTGCTTTTACTCTGCACCATCCTGGTTATTCCCCACCTCCATGGCATAAAAAAGCAAGCAGGGATGCAGAGACAGGGATCCCACAGTGCCAGGAGCTGGATATGAACTCCCTGCCAATCTCCAGCATTAGTTTTGTGCTGTTGCAGCAGACAGAGAATCACTGTCTCAGACAGGGCTCTATTAACACAATCATCTCTCAGATCAGCCCAGGGTAAAAAAAAAAACCAAAAAACAAACAGGAGAAAGAAGTGCTTTGTCATAACTAGGAAGTGCTTTTTGCAAGGAGACCTTCCCTTAGGAAACCAGAAAAAACTCTGCAGGGAGAATCCTGCCACATATACATCCAAAATCAAGGCTTTTGGAGCTCTTGGCACTCGTTCAATCAGCTGCCAGCTGCTCTCTGAGCCACTGAGAGGCAGAGGCTGCCTACAGCTCAACATCCTCCCTCCAGCTGCTAAACAAAGGGATTGGGAGTGCAGCAAACAGGATTGAATTTTCATCCCTGAATTTACTCACTGCTGCTCATTGCATGGCAGTTTTCCTCCCAGGAATTCTGCTGCTAGAATCCCCTATCAGCCATCCTGCTCAGATTGGCTGCCAACAGTGGCTTAGTTTTTGTTTCAGACTAGACATCCACAGAGGCCCTGTCTCCCCTCAAACAAGCCAGCTGGAAGATGGATTGACAAGTAGAAAATTTGAAAAAACCCCCTAAGATAGACAGGAAACCACACAGAAAATGACGAGGTGCTTATTCACAGGGCACACGGATAATCAGTGCGGCTCCTTCCACAAAGAGATGCCGAAAGCTTGGGGAGATTTAAAAAGCAAGAGGTTAAATTAAGCAGAAAAAAAAAAAAAAAAGCCATTAATACTGAACTCTCACTGCTGCCTCAGGAAGTCTTAAAATCCTGAAAGACAAAGCAGTGGGGGAAAGTCTCACTGCACGTTTCTTCCACTTTTCCTTGAGGATCCTTGCAAACTCAACACTGAGCTGCTACAACCCACTGTGTTCTCCTCTCACCCGAGAGCAGAAAGGAACAATAGGAAGAGGAATGACAGAAATGGAGAACTAGGACATTGTTATACACCACAACCATTAAAAAAAAAAGGACTTTTCCAAATTGAAAAGCAGCAAATCATTACAAACCCATCAGCTTCCTCCCCTGAAGCGTTTCACACCCCAGATGGAATTTCCAGGCAGAGAGCGAATGACAGCCCAAGGAGCTGCTCACACTTCTGCTCAGGCCAGCAGAATATCAGTTGGTTTGAGTCCATGCAAGAAGAGCTGACATCTGATTTTATTCTGATGTGGAAAAGGAAACGCTCCTGGAATGCCAAATTTCCCTCACTCCTACATTTTACAAGTGCTTAAAATCAAAGGCAAGATATCCCACGGAGACTGAAGTTAGCTGGAATCTGGAGCTAAATGTGCCACAAGTTCTTGTTACGTGAACTATATTTAAACCCACACAGAAACAGAGAACTACGACCCAAGGAGTGCCAGAAGCACAGGAAACCCTCTGAAACCATGAAAGCACAAATCCTGAGCCCATCCCTCTGGAGTCCACATGGGTTCACCAGGCTGCTGAAATCAAAGCAAGGATTCAAACACCTCTTACTCAGTTCCCAACCACCGGCTTCATTCCACTTACCTCGCTGGCCTCTCTGAGTATTTATCTCAGAAACACTGCAAAGAAAGGCTGTGTGTGGACACACAAATTCAACCTTACGTGAACAACACTCTTGCTTGGACCACATTAAGCTGGAGCAAAAATCCACCATGTGTGCCCCCAAAAGCAGCAGTTTGGGTCCTTATCAGGAAGGGAGGGGGCCATACCCGTGCAGAATTCCTTGTTAGGGTTCTGGGGTACCACAATCCTCCTGTAGACGATGGGCTCCGACTCCAGGATGTTCTCATCGTGCCGGTAGCGGGCGGGTTTCTCGTTGGGGGTCCCTCGGGAGCGGGTGCCGCTCCTCCTCTCGTAAGTCTCGATCTCTTCAAACACAGCTGCCTTGTCAAAGAGAGCCAGGTTGCCCTCGAAATCGAAATCGGTGTCTGGGATTTCCTCGATATCGTCCCCAAAGCACTCGTCATCCTTGCTCTTCATCTGCCCGTTCTTCAGGCCGCTCTTCTTCGGGGTCACCTGGTTCGGGTGGCGGCTGCTGGATGACCCTAAGCCAAAAGAAAAACAAGTTGAGAGTGTGGCCTAAAAGGGGGAAAGGCACCTTCTCAGCACATTCTGCAGGAGAGGGGAGTTCCTGCCTATAGTCCACGCCACTCAAAGGAAACTCGCCGTGCAGCTCATCCTTGGCACTACTCATGCTCAGCTAAGCCAGCAGAAAACAGAACAACAGCATCAGCAAAGAGACTTTCAGGGACTTCCCATCAGCCAGGTTAGAAAAACAGGCTTGCCCACAGTAGCAAGAGGTGTTTCTCCAGGTCTTATTTCATCCCAGTGTCACATCAGTGCCAAAGTTATCAGCTGTGACCTAGGAGTTTTCCTCCTGTCCTCAGTCCGTGTTCAGGCAGGTGTGTGACCCAAGCCCTTCTTTGGAATTCCCGTAATTTCAGAAACTACTGTGTGTGTTTTCTTCCATATTAATGATCCTTAAGGGAGAACTGCAAGCCCTGAATATAAAGGATCTCTTTTCCCTCAACCTTGATGTAGTTTCTGTGATATGACACACAGTCCACTGCCTCATTCCTGTTTCACTCTCCTCCTCATCCATTACCTTGTATTTCAGAATACACTTCCTTCCAATCACAAGTCATTGGGAAAGCCCAAATTCTCTGGAGTGAGACTGATGAAAATCTCCTGCTTAGGGCTGGAGATTAAGAACTGATGCAAATACACAATTACGAGGTGAGCACATCCTTTACTTGCTTATTTCTTCCTTGGTTCTTGGGGTCCAGACAATATTATTGTTTGTCATTGCCAGTGTTACATTTGCAATTACTAGGAAATATTTCAGGCCAATTCCTGCAGCTACAGGAATCACCTACAGTGTCCAACAGATGGAGTAAGTTATCAAGCCAGACTGCTTGCTCTAATAAACCATTTCCTGTTATTTAACACAGTCCCCTTTGTGAGGGATTTAGACAAATGAGTTTGAGAGAATCCACTTGGTAACACAAAGAATTTCAAGCCATTCAAGGAGACTTTCAAACATCCCAAAAGATTTGCAATGGGCACAAACTCCACAAGCACCCTTCAAGTCACCTGTCCCCTTAGGAGTTCAGTTTCGGCACATCTAACTCCAGTCATGCTGAAATGTGACTTGCTAAGGATGTGTACCTGGTTTATTCCCAGTCAGAGATGCACTGCCCCAGCAAGGATTTATTTCAGACAGTGTGGGGCTTGGTTTTCCTGGACAAACTACCCTCAAAGCTTTCCCAGTCCCCACAGCAAGATTCCAAATCTGCCAGGCTTTGCAGAATATCCATCCCCCTTAAGGAAAAAACAAACAAACCAAACACTGTGATAATGCACCTTTTGGTGACAGACAGCAGAGTTCCAGCACTGCAGTGACAAAACAGGATTTAGGAGAGAGGAAAGGGTAAGGCTTCCCAGGAGGGAGAATTTCAGTTGGCACACTGCAACCATTCATTTATGTGCGTGGTTTTGAAAGGTTTTTTGGTAACAACTTCCACTCTGTCCCCCATAAAGGGCTCCCAAAGCAAAGGTGACACAAAATTGGACAGGATTTGGTTTGGAACTAAACTGCCACTGCTGGGGGAATCACAGCTACAGCTGCTGCTCTGAAGGAGGAAGATGAGAAATGCAAACACGACAGACCTGAGTTCTCCCAGCGTTCAGGAACTGCAGCTCAAGCAGAAGCCAGGGGACTCTCAGGGTTCAGATGGACAAGCTGGAGCCTGCACTGCCACAAAGGCAAACCAAGCCTGCTCCTTGTGTCCGTGTCAAGAGCTTGGCCAGCTCAGGCTGTTCCTGACACACTCCTTGCCAGACCCCTCTGCAAACAGCTCCACACTCCCCTGAGCTGACCCAAAACTCAGGGTGTGTGTCCAGTGGGACAGGAGCAGCTGATGTGAGCGTGGAATGCTGACGGAATAAAGAGCTTCACCAAAAAAGCTGGAGAACAAGAGCTGCAAAGCTCCCTGCAGCCACAAAGAATGGGAGCCAGGAGCCCACCCCAACACAAGGTGGTGGGCAGCTCCCTAATCCATCCCGAGGAGTGTGAGCTCTGCAGTGCTGCTGACCCACCCAGCTCTGCCCTGACTGCCCCACAGCCCCCTAACAGAAGTCACACACAACATGGCACAGGCCTCCAACCAGCTGGGAGCAAAGTTAGGAGCTTTCTAGACAGGAAAAAACGAGGGAGACGAAAAGAGCCAAAAAAAGGGAGGAAAGCAAAGTCAGGCTGCAGAAAGGCAGATCTCAAATTCCAGCTGCTTTTGGGTCACAGCTTCCAGTGCCTGTAACCCTGCATGAGGAGAGCAGCTCCACTCTGAGCTGGCAGCCTTGTGCCACACAGAAAAGCATCTCCCTCACAAGATAAACAACCCTTGCTGGGCTTTTTTTGTTTCTAAGGAATAACAACCCTTTCATGTACAACACACCAGCAAACAAAGTCTCCAGCGAGCTGGCTGCCTTCCTGAGAGATCCCTGTGGGAGGGTTTGCTGCCAGCCCTGGCACCATGAGCCCGGTGCCAGCACGGCAGCGGACCCATGGCTGGGAAACCTGCGCTGGTGTTTGTGGTTTATTGATTCCTGTCACTGAAGCGCTCCAAAGGGGAATTCTGGCCCTGACTTGGCACGCTAGAGGCCAACAAGAGGTCAACTTTCAGCTGTAGGACCCAAGTTCTGGATGAAATCTCAGCCCATTCCTCCCTGAACTCCTGCACCCACCACCTGCACAAAGCCAGGCTCAACTTCAAAAACATCACTCTCCCTACCCTCCAAATACACACATTTCACAGGATACATCCCTTCTCTACCTCCTGTATTCCCAATTCCACCCAAGTTAACAATCCACACACTTAGGACCCTGCTCAACCTGCCTCCAAGTCTGTAAAAGCGACCTGCTGTGCTCATGTAAACCCAGCACGAGCTGTTTGGGGTGAGCTCTCCGCTCACCCCAAATCTACCACACAGCCTGGAAGGGGTGAAAATAACCCAGCTGCTGGTGGGGGAGAAAGACTTGCAGAGGTCTAGGAATTCCTCCCCAAAACCACGCCTGTTTAACTGGCCTGGCCCACCTTGCTTTGCTTCTTTTCTAACTGCGAGGGGGGAAAAGAATTGAAGTCATGGAAATATTGGATGGATATACACTGACATTTCAGGAACTGGATTACGAGGCTCTGGAAAGGAAGATAGCTTAGGGGGCTTTGAGAAAAAAAGTGAACAAAGCCAATTCTGGCCCAGTTTTGAAGACTGTATCAAGAGAAATATAAATAAAGGATGTGTGACTTTGGGATGCTCTGATTGTATCTTACATCACCCTCGTTAATTTGTATTTTTAACAATACAGCCAAAACCCGTCCATAATTATGCATGGGGTGATGTTATAATAGGTTATGGGTATAGAAACCTTAAAGAGAAAAGCTTGGGGAGATTAAAAAAGCAAGAGATTAAATTAAGCAGGAAAAAAAAAAAACCATTAATACTGAACTCTCACTGCTGCCTCAGGAAGTCTTAAAATCCTGAAAGACAAAGCAGTGGGGGAAAGTCTCACTGCACGTTTCTTCCACTTTTCCTTGAGGATCCTTGCAAACTCAACACTGAGCTGCTACAACCCACTGTGTTCTCCTCTCACCTGAGGATAATATTGCAGCTTGTTTGCAGCTCCTTTCAGAGGATAAGGCTGGGAGATCTTCAAGCAGGAAAGATTGCAAAACGAGGAAACCTTTGGAACTGGCATTAGACATTTTCTACATAGACAGAATCACTAAGATGGAAGAGACCTTTGAGTCCAACCCATGCCCCTAACACCTCAACTAGACCACGGCACCGAGTGCCACATCCAATCTTATTTTAAACACATCCACCACCTCCCTGGGCAGACAAATCCAGCACTCTATCAGCAAAAAAAAACTTCTTCCCAATATCCAACCTTAAATTTAAGACCTTTCGTTCTGTCAGCTGTTGCCTGGAAAAAGAGACCAACCCCCAGCTGACTACAGCCAGCTTTCAGGTGGGCTTAGAAATATATTGTATTTCAAAATAGCCCACAGGTGGGCCAGGGGAAGTTTCCACCAAAGTCTGGTGAAAAAGGGAAGCCGGTGGAGCAGGAAAGCTCCAGGATACCCCCACACTCACAGGAATTGTGCCTGCGGCGGAATCCTTTGGACTGGCTCAGCGTTTCCATGTGTCGATCCATGTAGCTCTTGGAGCACTGCTGCTGTGGGGAGATGACAATGTCCTGGCTCTTCATGTCTGTCCTCCTGGGGATGTTCTGTGGGGCACTGCTGGACATGGGTTTCTTCAGCACCTTGCCGGTGCCGTTCTGGCTGGGCCCCACCTGGCAGCCCACGCCCGGGATGGCCGTGTCCATCTGCTGGGAGTCCCCGCATTGTCTGCTGTCCCCCGGCCCCGGGATCTCCAGGATCTTCAGCTCAGTGATGTCACCTGCCCTAAAAACAGCACCAGAAAAGCAGGAATCTAGCACACACCCTGGCAGAAAAAAAAAGACTTCTGAGGGAAAAAAACATCCAATGGGATTGTTCTGATGCTGTTATCAATAGCAAAAAAGGAATAAAAGGGTTTTAATACTCAGACATAAAGGGCATTTCCACAGACATCAAAATGTTCAACTGCAACAGCAAGTCTTCAAAATAACCACTTCAGTATTCCTGCGCTGCACCTGGATTTTGTTTGAAAGGTTCTGTAGCTGAAACAGGAATCGGTCATGCAAAAAAAATGGAAGCAACTGGTCCAGATCTTTGCAGAAATCTGCATTAATTTAACAGTTTCTAGCTAATTAATTGCTCTCGGCCCTGAGGCTACTATTACTTTTAATCCATTTCTGCAGAAAGCTACCCTCAGATTAGTGCAGCTCATGCTCCGACAAGGACAATACTTCCCATTTGAAAAAAAGGATAAAGAAAACTGATCTAGCACTGGGCACAAGCCAAAAGAAAACAAAGGAGTGATTATAAAGACTTCCATTTGCACTGACTGCAAGAAATACATCGGGAATTAGGCTCTTCTAGTTTTAACTCAGCATTTGTCCAAGTGGGATATGAGAGCAGAGGGACCTCCCCACATCCCCTGGCAGGATGTGGCTGTTGTCTTCCCCCACTGTCTCTCTTCAAAATCCAAGGGGGGAAAAAAAAAAATCAATTAAAAGAGTATTGACTTTGTGGAGTCTATGTTATTGAAAAATGAGTGACTCAGAGCCTTAACTACAACATTCCAGGGAACAGAAAAACGTGCAGTGAGGAGTGACTCCTATTTATATTTTTTAAGCCCAGTGTTACCAGGAACTGGTGGGAAAGAACTGCAGAGGGCAAAGCTTTAAAAAAAGCACATCAGTCCCCTCTGCTACAACAGAAGAGAATATAAATAAAAAATAATTTACAATAAAAGAGAAATGTATATTTGCATCCACACACGGTCTGACCCCACAATAATCCCCGAGCCACTCCAACTCTAGGATCCAAGCCAGGAATTAATCTCCTGCACACAAACTAACACAAACACCAGAGGCACTCAGCAGCAGCAAGGAAATTTAGGGCCAAGAGGTCAAGTCTGAGGGGAAAAACCCATTCAAGGCAGTGGGGGAAAGACAGGCACTAACCTGAAGGTGACTTCTGGCACGAGGCATTTGACGCCGTTGTGGAAGGGCCGTGTGAGGGAGATGGTCTGGCTGACCTGATCCACAGCAGACACTCTGCCCTGGTACACTCCCAAACTCTCTCCACAGTTAATGGAGACGATGCTGCCCAGCCAGTCCGTGGCCATGGCTGTGGCACAGAGCTGCTGTGAGGAGCCTGCCTGGAACGAGATGCACAAACCTCAGTGGGCAGCAGCGCACCCACAGCCCTGCCTCCCTCCCAGGTGCCAGCTCTGGAGGCTCCTCTCTCCTTTGTGGGCAGCAAATAACATCCCAAGGATCCCAATCAGAGTGTGAATCCCTGCATGGGGCTTTGCCTCCCCCACTGCACTGCAGATCTTTGTTCCACTGCCTGGATTCAAGGACGATGCCTCCAAGAGAAATGTTTAGTGTTTCGTCCTGCCTGTGGATATTCTCCTGTTGCCTTTTTGCCAACCTGCAAATGGAACTCGAGATAATTTTAGGTATTAAAACACCAGGAGCTCACACCTGTGGCCCACCAGGACCCAGAATGTAGCATTTTCCAGCTCAAGAGGAACTGATAAGAGACTGAGTGAGCTGAGCTACACCCCACAACAAAGACTTTCTGAATTTACCATCTCTGCAAAACAACCAAGACTTTTTTGTTTAATATTATTCTATTATTATCATTATTATTACAAATACTTTGCTTGTTAAATAAAGAATTTGTTTCCACTTTTCTCCAAGGAAATCTTTTCCCAAACCAGTTGGGAGAAGATCCACTGAAATCCACTTTCCAAAAGGACCCCTTTGAAAGTTTCCTCCCAAATTTACCCTAAACCAAGACATGAGGTAATATAAGGAAGATGTCCACAAAAGCCCCTGAGGGCCTTCCCATAAAGATCTGCTCTTATGTTATCTCCTCACTAAAATTATCTCGAGTTTCACTTCCAGGCTGGGAAAAAGGCAACACTCCCTGTGATTTCAAACTGGGAATTTATCTTCACTTCTCTCCTTCAAGTTTTGGCAGATGGACACTGGGGCAGAACAGCTCCTGTGAATATTCAGGATTGATCTCTGCACGTGCAAATGAAAACCAAAATCTTGAAGGGAACAGAGATACAGGGCAGGAGGGGAAGCCTAACCAACAGAGAGACACAGAAAGGGGAGAAAATCCCCCAAAACTGGAATCCAGGACAAAAGCATCCATGCTCTGCAGAGGCAGCGTTAGCATCACTGCCACAATTAGAGAAATTAATTAAAAAATAGCTGCTCTCCTTCCCAGCACTCGAGTTCTGTCAGAACCAGGGAGGAAAAACTCCAATTTGTTTAGACAGATGTTTCCAGCACTCCTGGAAGCAGCTAAAGAGCTCCTTTGATCTGAGATTTCTCAGTGACAGGCTCACAAGCACCACGGAGAACAAGAGACATGACAAGCTCCTAAATGTGTAGGTTTGCCTTTCATGCTGCAATCAAAGAGGGAGAACGTTTGATATTTACTGTGAGCAGCACAAAGAAACACGGGAGACAGCCCAGGGAGATCAACATCCATGTATAAATCACAGTTCTGGAAGAGGTAGCTGGATTCTCTGCAAGCTGAGCCTCTTGGAAAAAAACGCAAGGAAAAAAAATAACCTGGAGGAGGAAAAAAAAATCTCACTTCCCCCAACTTTCACAGGCCTGAAACTGGGATGCTTCAAAGGGAAGAAAACACTGAATTTGGTCACAAAGCCATCAATTCCTCAGGAGCAGCCTCCTCTCCTTCCTGTGGCTGTGTGTTTATATTAACCCATGATGACAATGTCTGCATTCCAAGGAGATGGCTGATAAAGAGCACTCTCAAAACACAGATAACACATCCCTGGGTACCCACAAGAAAACTAAAACTTCATTCCATTTCCTGTTTTCTTTTCAATCTCCCTTAGGAAACATGGCAAAGAGCTCAGCTCACATCATCGCCTCACGTGGATCCTTTCTAAAAACAACAGCCTCCTTTTAGAAAAAAAAAAACCAACCAAAAAACCAATAAATCTATGTTTGAATGGAAATAAAAATTAAACCATCCCGAGGTTGGATTGGGTGGCTGCAGGAAAACACAGAGGCATCCCAAATATTGTAAACACATGGACCTACCACAAGTAAACTCAACCTGCCCCGTGGGTAAACATAGGGGCCTCACAAGGTGAAAAGAGGGGGATCCCACATGGTTAAACACAGGGAATCCCATGGATAAACACAGAGAAAACTCCATGGATAAACACAGGGACCCCCTCCTCCATGGATAAACACAGGGAACCCCCCCCATAGATAAACACACGGAACCCCCCATGGATAAACATCGAGAAAACTCCATGGATAAACACGGGGAGCACCCCCATGGATAAACACAGAGAACCCCCCCATGGATAAACACAGGGAACCCTCCCATGGATAAACACAGGGAACCCCCCCATGGATAAACACAGGAAACCCCCCATGGATAAACACGGGGAACCCCCCCATGGATAAACACAGGGAACCCCCCATGGATAAACAC